AGGAATGTTTGCCTGAAAAGTTTATGCAAGCTGCACTTGAACTGTGAGACCTGGAGAAAGCCCCCCTGCTCCCGGGCTCAGTGTTCAGGCAACCTGCACCTTGACCACAGGCTGCCCCCAGGGTGCAGCACACGTCAGTCTCCTGGTGCCGTGGGCAGGAGGGCTGTAGTCATGGAGGGACCAGCACTATGCTGCAGTAGCTGCTTGGTCTGAACGGTGGGGACCAGAAATTTGTGAGGTATGGATTCTACTTTGAAAGAGAGAGACAGCCACAGAAAGTCTTCTTAGAAGACTCTGTAGAAGAGTACTTGCCGTGATGCTGCAGGGATCTCTCTTTCTAAATTTATGTTTTATATTCAGTAATTAAATCAAGCAAAGGGGGAATTATGCTAAATGAATGGCCATCTGACAGCTTTCCAGATACAATATATATAGCCTTGACTGGTTATCAGGGAAATATCATCCAAATCGTATAACTTTTCAGCATACACATGCTTTTGCTACCTTCAGACAGCTTGCAGAGCACATACATAAGTAAAGATACACAATCATAAACACAAGGTAGAACATCAAAAATAGGACTTCAAGGAAAGTGCATCATTTCCCAGGACAGGCATTTGGATACTTTCAAGAATGAAATTTTGAATGAAACTGCAGCACAAAAATCAAATAAAGCACAGGTTTTACAGAGAGAGGAATATACCATATCTCACAATATATTTTTACAGGACAGGCTTCAACAGTTCCCAAGAACTGGATCACAACCTTAATGCTGTCTGACTGAAGCTATTGCATTACTATCAACCAAGATCATTTTTACATTAGGGATGTGTTAATACCACCAAATAGATTTTAATACATCATAATGCTGGAATTAACCATTTTTTTTTCTGACAAGGAACAAGTCACCTTCTATTATCAGGCATCAAATCATTTTAATATTTGGCTGATACGTTCTCCTTCTTGTACAATCTGCCAAATAAAACAGTTAGCCTAGCTGCAGAGTGGAAAGAAAATGTGACTGAATAAGACGCAGATAAAAACGGATATAGAAATTAGCCCTGAAGTACTGTAGATTTTCCAAGGCCTTGCTAAGAAGTCAGAGACAGTTATATTTGGCTTTAGGAAAACTTAAGCGCTCAAGACCAAGTTTACTCTCAGAAAATAGTAGGTCCTATTCGAACAGCTTAAAAGATGGCAAAAACGTTTAAAGTAAGCCTCTCAATTTTATTTATTTGGAGTGCAACTTGCACTCATCAGTGGAAGAATATGTATGGTATATAGATGCTGAAAGATACTATTATAGAATAGTGTCAATTTGGAATTCAGATTTCAAGCACGGACCAAATCTTTCATTTGGCAACTAGGTTAAGAGCCTAAGAGTGCGTCTATGTTGGTGACTGCGTGCAAGGGTTGCACAAATTTGGCTTGCATCTATACCTGGAGACTTCTGATGCACACTGAAGCATGCCATTGATACACTTGCAGTGGTTTCTCTCTTTCTGAAACAAAGACTGATGTCATACAACAGGGCGTTAGCAAGGGAGTACCATTTTCAGTGTGCATACAAGGTCCCCCACTGTGTAACTCTCTAGGTTTGCATGGTATATGCAATGTTAGATTTTTGGCAATCTATTTATTGTTTTAGATCAGTGCTGCTTGTTGATAGAGATATTGCTACAAAGCTACTCTTTATCTGCCTATCACTTATCAAACTATAGTCACAGATGGACACTTCCACTGCTATATCTGTTTTTAATTTCTTAGTGCAATGCCCTACTAATGGTGGATAATACTTACCAAAAAGGATAGGAGAGTGTGTGTGTATAATGGTCACAGTCAACTTAAGCAAAGGAAAATTCTTTGCTGGGTGTGAACAAAGCTGGAGCTGAGGATCTAGAAAATAATCTCCTCTGGAAAATGCCTGCAGCTTACCCATTTGTAGATATGGAGGACAACTTATGTTTCACACTTTTCTTATTTTGCAAAGACAGAAAAGATGTATCTTGACCTCCTCTTGGCACAGGGGCTCTTGACTGAAATTTTCTTCTGTCACAATAATGTATTTAAAGATGAGTTATACATAATAAAACCTTGAAATTTAGTTACAAAAGTTAGTACAGACACCTAGATACTCTTCTTGTTCCAATTTCTGTAAACAGAATTGCAGCTCCTTTATCCAGAATGCACCTCCAGCAGGTTATCTTCTGACTCATAGTCACAATAACAAGACTGAAAGAGAGATGAGCAACACGGCTGGAGCCATGGCTTCCACAGAAGGTTGTCCCATGATAACTGGTCAGGGACAGCATGCAGTGATTTGGTATGGTTATCTACTGCTTGCAGTATGACATGGAGGATTTCATAAAAACGACTCTCCGTTTCTGGAGTCAGTGGGACTTTTTCTTCAGGGTCTCGGGAGAGATCAAAGAGTAGTGGGGGATCATGGCGCGTGACAAAACCTCCATAGCAAAAGCAAACATGAGAATCATAGCAACCATTGGAGTCTTCAGGATTAAAGTTGGGAGTGAAGAAGAAGACTTTCCAAATAGATTCACCTGCAATTTACAGACATAAAACAGCTGATGATAACAGACAAACAAAAGGTCCCCTAATCTTATGAAAACCAAATTTATACCATAGGAAATTGGTCTTTTGGTTCAGCTTCACTGTGTACAGGCACTACCACATACTGAAACAGCAAAACAAAACTAAGCAAAACATGGTGGTTGTTGTGCTACACACATATATGATTCTGACCACTTCATTCCTTTGGAAGAATTCTGATTAATTAAATCACAGAAGATTTAAAGAACTTTATGTTTTTACATGAACAGTGCTAAGAAGATCTGCATAAACATTTACTAAGCCACTGCACTTTCTTCAAGACTTATTAAAATGGACCACTTGACCATATCTAGACATTGTCGGGCTATGACTGCTGCTTGTTTTGCAAATCAAAGTAATTCCATGTTAATCTTATTCTCTCCTCATCTCTTTTTTGTATTAACCCAATACCTTCTGTCATATGCTTAGACTGAAAAAATCTTGAGACACAGACTCTCATTTCATTAAATGTGGTGACATGAGCTGATCCTAACTCCTGTCTCAGGCCTCTAGATGCTTTTGCAAAAAATAAATAAGTATTAGGGTGGTGTAATCTTGAGGTGAAACTCTGCTTTTTAATATGAGAATCAGACATGTTTTCATTTCTAAGTAGCTCACTTAGCTTAATTTGTTTTGTGCAGAAACTGAACTGTCTGTACTTGTATAACTTCATTCAGTACTTTTACTATTTAAAAATACAAATTGATTCCTGGATTAAGAATAAGCAAATATGAATTGGTTCATTCAAGAAGTGGACTTGAAGAGAAGATATATTGGAGAACCCGGAAATGCTTATCAAGAAAGAAATCAAATAATAAAATGGCTAATATTTTGCTCAAGTGTCACAGAGCAGATGATAATTTTAAGGGAAGTATGTAACTACAGTCCTACAGAAACAGGCTAGAGAACAAATAAGAGTCAGAGTCCATGCTTTATTCTTGATAAAAGTGAGATACTAAATAGCTGAGGTCTCTAGACTAGGTCTATAACGTCTGACTATCTATCCATTTGAATATATGCAGATATCAAAAGTACATTTTCATTAGGGCTCATTCAGCACCTTAATGCTGAAATCATTTTCTTAATTTCTCATTTTTTTAAATACTAGGGGAAACACTCTTTTTAGTATTTCTCCATATAAAGAGGTAAAATTAATCTCAGAGGCAAAAGTTCTGTTAAATTCACAGAAAGCTTTGTTAATCTATTTAAAAAATGCCATATATTGATATGTGCTACAGTGGTTAATATTCATTAACCAAATCACCAGTTCAACAGAATGGAAATCACCACAAAATGTGGGAAAGGCAGAGATAACTGGTATATCACATGCTGTAACTACCTCGTACTTGACTTTTAAAGATAAAAAACAGGTTGAAAGAAAGACATGTTTCAGTAGAAAAAAGGAGTCACAGGCTGTAGTTCTAGTCTATAGCATGAATTTAAAAGATAGTACGTGACCTTAACATTCTTTACAGCTTCTTCTATCCTACAGCATTTTTCACTTTATAAGAAATTTTACCTTTAGAAACCTATTCAGTGATAGAACCTGGAGACTTCCAGTTCACTTAGTCTGCACTTAAATCCGGGTCGGAGGGGTGAAGGTTGTTACACACGTTAGACTGGAAGAGTCCTCTGAACGTTGCTTGGAAGTTAGCAAAGGGGAAGGAGTTTTAAAGGCTGAGTGACTTGCTGACACAGACAATAGGACATGGCACTCTTTAAAAGGCACCAAAGGCTCTTGCTGTGACGGCCCATTCATATTGGGGAGAGCAGGGAAGACGAAGGGGAAGGAAGGATGCGTTCCTTCATCTACTTTTCCAGTAACGTTTTGCCGGGTTGGTTTGAGACTTGAATTCTTTGCTGTTTTCTCATAATTAAAAATAAACAACAAACACCAACACTCCTCTTACATCTCTTTGGACTTAAGCACAGAACATTGCCCAGAGCAGGTATATGCCTCTCATTTCCTGAGATTTAGATTTTACATTCTGATAAAGTATATGATTCTATACTAAATAGTTCTTCAGGCTTTTTAAGAGTGTTTAATTGGCAAGATGGACAATGAGAAACATAAAAAGCCAAGGGGCTTTATTAATCAGTGCACTATATGCCTTCACAGACATGCAGTATTTACCTCACCTGAAAATTTGATTCTCAACATCATCACCTTCTGACATAAGAAGAGCAGAAAAAAAAGTATATAGCTATTAAAGTGTCAGCTAACAGAAATTCCAGTAAGTTCCCATATGGAAACTTTGTGGTGATGCTGTCTTACCATATATCTTTCTTTGAGGGTGCATTTGTGCTGAATGACATTAAAAAGAATTTTTCAGTCAACTTCTTCCGTGTTGGGCACTATATTACAGGGCCAGTTCAATGGCTTTCACATAGCAAGATTAAGCAGAGAATTCTGAGTTAATGCAAGTCATTATCATCAGCTCATACAGGCAAGTATAAAGACACAGGAAAAAGAAAGAAAAAAATAATTAAGTTGTATCATGATTTTTTTTCCCATAGAATAAAAAATTGTTCAGATTTGCCTATATCCAGAACATATAGAATATTGCAAATGCATGTTTTAGGTGGGTGACAGAACATGTGTGATGTTGTATTGTATCTGAATTACACACCCAGTTTTTTAAAGAGTTGATGGTAATTTATCACTAAGCTCTGGGAGAGCAAAGTCTGTTACTGTGCAATGAACATCTGTTGCACTCCAGTGATGTTTCACTGAGAGTCTGGAACTTCATGTGATGCTGGAGGAAGAGCAGAACAGAGTTTAACCACTGATTTCCTAATCTTTATAAAAACTAAAGCGTATCTGTCAGTGTCTGTAGCTGTAGAACGGCTAGTGTAATGTACTAGGAGACATAAAGAGCTGTCAGACTTCTAATCTGTAAAGCTGATGAACCGTATAAGGCTGGATATTTAAAAGACAGAGTTCTTTCCCAGTGTCTCTCAACTGGTATAAAATCTCATTTTGTCAGAGGGCTAACCAAAAGGATCAAATTAATCTCTTGGTAATTAACAATACCTGTGCTCTGCAAACCATCTGAATAGTAAGCTCTCTTTTTATATAAAGACAACTATATGTCTCTTCCTCAGCGAAATCATTAGGAAAACTGCCAGGGCTCCCTCCAAATGAAGTATATCAGGTCCCTTTTAAAACAAAGCAGGCAAGCCCTAATGCTGCAGCACCCCTCAGGCCCCTTTCCGGATGCTTCCCAGCTACTTTACTTATCATCTATTTTTCCTGCAATGCTCCAGCTCTATGAATTGTCCAACAGTTTCACCTAGTCACCTGCCAGAATATCACTATCCTCCCATATTTAGAAAAACAAAAGCTACAGAAGTTGTATATGTAAACATTCTCAAATGAAAATAGGTTGCAGTTAGTTCAAGCAAATACATGAACACAATCACTAAAAGTTTGATCTCCATGACAGACTCCTCTTCTGTTTCATTCTTTACCCACTAAACAGCAGACTATTCATCCTCTTCTACTCATACGGACAACCGTAGCTCCAACAGACAGGTAGCAGCTGTGGAATCAAGTAAGAGTCTCTCAGTAAAATATATTAATATGCAGATGCAGTGACACTCTGGATATGGATGTCATTTCTGTTATAGTAGTACTATCCTTAATCATTCACGGCTAAATCTTGTTTTCTGATAAGCAGTTCTTGAAGTGAGTAGAAGCTACTGCTGTGTTATTGCTTAGACCTTATTTTTATTGTACTTCATCTATAACAACTTTATAGGTTTGCAGCTACTGCCCTCTTCTTTGTTCATATTATTTTGCTTCTTCTTCTGTAATGTTGTTAAAAAAATGTGTTCTTCAACATAAATTGGGGTGTTTGTTGGTCTCTCCTTGGCTTAGACGGCTTTGAGCACAGCCCTTTGGGCCTAGAATACTCATGTAAATTGCCTAAAGATATTTTCTGTATTTTGAGTGTGCTATGTAGCCATTGTGAGTTCTCAAGTTCTAACTTATATCAGCTCTCAAGGATATTTACAGAGTAGCAGATGAATACTGCAACTCATTTTAAAATGATTTTCTTCAGATAACTTATTGTTAGGTTGATTCCTTTCTTCCTGTTTCATATATTTTTAGTTATTTAGAATTAACAGATTGTCTATTGATCTTATATAATGTAGGTATTGCAAATGTGTATAGATCTGTATATACATTCAGCTCTTCAATAATTTAACAATTTGAGAAAGGTTTTGGTTGCTAAATCCTTGTAGAACTATATCTAGTATATTGAGAATATGGTAACAATAAAGAAAAGGTATGTTTTCAAGAGTATGTGCCTGCCTGAAACAGCTAATAAAAAACTGCTATTTGTATGCTAAAATTTTTAGCTTTATTGTTCTTTTGGTAAAAATTTGTATTTTGCAGATACTTGTATTAAGTATCTCAGTATCTTACAGTGTTATGTGGTTAAATCTCAGTATCTTACAGTGTTATGTGGTTAAATTATGTGGTTATGTGTCTCAAGACAGCACACGATGTCCCTATGTAGGTGGAAAATAACTGAGTGATATTCAAAGACATAATGTTAGTTTATGAGAATGGTTTGTTGCTAGAAAAGTCTTGCATAAAGCACTGTGCAGAACATGAAGTATTTGAGGTAAAAATATGAAGCAAAATAGTAATAGCAGTGGTGTTCAAACCTTATGAATTTGAAACTGCAATGTTAAGTATCTGCTAAAACAGACAGAATTGCAGAGTGCTGGATATATAGTTATATTGAACAACCGCTGGAGGAAAAATACAAGACACAGTGAAACCATGCTCAGGCTGCTCGAGTCAAGACAGAAATCTCTTGACTGAGCTCTTGTATGAGTTATATGTGACTTTGAGTAAGTTCTGTGGTATGAAAAGGTTCCACTTAATTCTGTTCAAAAGTCAAGTTTAGCTGCTGAACAGTAGCTGCTGAAAAAGAAT